TCTTTCGCCCCCCTCGGGCAATTTTCGTCGTGCGCCGGCTACGTGCAGGAGTTATTGTTCTGACGATAACCCAAGGATGTAAAAAAATGTGTGGAGACAGATCGTGCGGTGACCTCGACATCGCGAGGCCCGAAGGGCCCCACCGCGCGGTCCGCCACCGCTCTGTCTTGAGACCCTGGAGGCCCCAGTCGCCCAAGACGTCCTCGGAGAACGGGCCCAAGACCCGAAGCGGTGCGGCCAGCCCGAATCCCCACGGACTCGCCACGCGGTGTGGTCACCGCACCATCATACCCAGACCCCCTCGCGATGTGAGAACAAAAAAACACGAAGGGCAATGTTTCGCCATTTTCGGCCTGCAGGGGCCCTCACCAGGCCCCGGGACCATCAAAAACGACTTAGGATGAGAAGCTGGTCCCGGGAAAGGGGTTCAAAACTCTGGGGGTCGACGTGGCGAAAAAACACGACGTCGGGGGTCTGGGTAGGAGGCTGGTGGGGCTTCGGGTTGCGCGCAGACAGCCCCCCCAGGCAGTGCCTGCTGGTCCAAACAGGCCCCCCGAGCAGTCCTCCGCCGCCGCCGCCGTCGCCATTGAGGCCGGCCTGGGCTGCTCGGGGGGGGCCGCCTGTGCGCAGCCCAAAAACGGTACCACTGGGGGCCCCCTCAGGGATTTCCTGGCCCGGGTCAATCCAAACCCGGGTCAGTCAGGCCTTGCAGGATTCTGCAAGATCCCGCAGGATCCTGCACGCAAGCCCTGGTCAATGCAAACCCTGGCTCTGCAAGATCCGGCAAGATCTGGCGCTCTGGCTGACCCCCGTTTGCATTGAACCCGTTCCTCGAACCCCGGCCCCCACTCTTTCCGTCCCCGTGCCGGTCCTCTGGGGACTGGAGCAAGCCGACGTCGTCGGCCTCCTCGGCGTCCGCGCAAGCCGCCGGGCCTGCCGCGGCAGGCGCCAGCAGGGCCGCGATCCCGAGCGGCACGGTAATCGCGCGGAGCCCGCGGAGAGCCATGTTCAGTTATGAAGGCGCTCGGGCTGAGAGCTGCCAGGCATCCTCTCATGGCTGGAAGAAAGCGACGTATTTTGCGTCGATCTTCCGCCTCCAAGGGCCTCACCGAGCCCCAAGGCCATCAAAAAACGACTCAGGATGAAAAGCAGGTGCTGCGAAGGGGTCCAGACCCATGGGAACCACGTCGTGAAAAACACGACGGAAGATGTCTGGGTGAATGCCCGTAGCAGTTCGATGAATCAACAGACCCGTGGACACCTTGATGCAATCCGGCTTGAGCCAGCGTCTTGAAAAGGATTGTGGATCCCTTGGAGCCAAGGGGGTTCAGAGTGGGCTCGGCCCACCTTTTCCCCCCTCCACCGTCCCCCGTCCCCCTCTTCCCTCCCTCCTGCCTCATCCCTCTCCACCTCCTCCTCCGCCTCCAGAAACTTCTCGTCCCGCCCTTCTTAACGGGCGCAGGAGGAAAGATTGAAGAGGAGGAAACATTTTTCTGGGCAGTGATCCGAGCGTAGACCCCCAATCCGCCACAGTGCCTCTGGGCACGGAGTGGGCGTGTCCTCAGGTCCTTTGGCCAATCCCCTGAGCCTGAGTCCTCAGTCCTGAAGAGTTTTTAAGGCCCTGGAGCCCGCATTCATACATTTCCCGGGGCTTGGAGCGGTTCCCGCAGGCCTCGCCGCATCTTGTCGCGTGACTTCTTCGGGCCCAGGAGCGCCCCGAGACAGGCCAGGATAGCCCCAAGAGGCCCTCAAGACCGCCCAAGACGGCCTCGAGTCGCCGAACGATCGCCCCAGGACGCTCAAGATGGCCACCAGACAGCCCAAGAGGCCTCCAAGATGCCCAAAGAGGCTCCTAAGAGGCCCCCCAAGAAGGCGCCCAAAGGCCAAGTCAGAGATTTCTTTAGGTTTTTGAAAAATTTTGGCGTTCTCGCCTTTTCGGCCCCCCGACGCTCCCAGACGGCCCTGGAGGCCCCAAGACCGCCCCCCAACAATTGCCCAAGAGGGCCCCAAGACAGCCCAAGAGGCGCCCAAAGCGGCAAAAGAGGGCCCCACGACGGCCCCACAAGCGGCCCAAAAGAGGGAACACGAACCGAAAATCCGAGCCTTCCGCCCCAAGAGGCTCCCAGGAGGCGCCCAGGAGGCCCCAAGAGGCCCCCTAGAGGCCCAAAAGAGGCCCCAAGAGTCTCCCAAACGGCTTCCAAGGGGCGTCCAAACTGCCTCCAAGAGGCCCCCGAGAAGCCTCCCACGAGATCCCAGCGAACATCCAATAGGCCTTATACCCATGACCCAGGCACGGTGGCGGGATGGGCCGAAGGCCATGAGATCCGCCGCCCCCTGCTTGCAGGGGTGCACGGCGTGCTGGACGAGCTGTCAGGTTTTGGTTTTGGTTCTTTTTCCAAAAGAACTCCCCAATGGGCTCCGGCCCGTCCCGCCGGGGTCCCGGGAGGAAGCCGAAAACACCTCAATCCGGAAAAAAATCCTCCAAAAACGGCCGTTTCGCTCGGGACATCCTCAACAAATCGCGAAGATGGCCCAAGATGGCCTCCAAGTCCGCCCGAGATGGTCCAAGACGGCCTCCCAAACGGCCCAAGAGAGTCCAAGACGGCCCAAGACGGCCCAAGAGGCCCCCCAGAGGCCTCCCAGACGGCCCAAGAGGCCTCCAAGAGGTCCTCCAGGAGAGTCCGAAGAGGCCAAAATCCTTGATTTTCCATTGGTTTTTGAAGGATTTTGGCATTTGCGCCTTTTCGGCTCTCCGACGGCTCAAGTCGGCCCAAGAAGCCCCCAAGATCGCCCAAGAGGCCCCCAAGAGAGCCCCATGATGGCCCAAGTGGCCTCCAAGATGGCCCCTAGAGGGCCCCAAGAGGGCCCAAGAGGCCTCAACACGCCCAAGATGGCCTCCAAGACGCCCAAGATGGCCTCCAAGACGGCCCTGGAGCGCCCCAAGAGGGTCCCCCGTTGGCCAGAAAGGCCCCCAAAACGGCTCCCGACGGCGTCAGACGTGCCAGGAACCCACCAAGATGGCCGAAGTTGGCTCGAAGCTGGCCCAAAAGGGCCCAAGAGGCCCCCAAGAGGCCTCCAGGAAGGCCAAAAGATGCCAAAATCACTGATTTTCCCTAGGTTTTTGCTGGATTTGGGCATTTCCCTTTTTTCGGCCTTCCGACGGCCCGAGACGGCCCAAGAGCCCCCAAAGATCGCCGAAAGATCGCCCAAGAGGCCTCCAAGACGGCGACGATGACCATCAAGACGCCCACGTGTTCCCCGAAGGCTTTCCAAACCGAGTCGGGGAACACATGGTCCGATTGCTTGGCAGGTCTGGCCTCAACGTTCGGCCACATAGGCGCTTCCACAAAGGCAGGGGGCGGCGGTGATTCGCCGTAGGCGTCTTCGATCCGCCGCCCCCTGTGGCTTGCCACAGGGGTGCACGGCGTGCTGGATGTTTCAGGTTTTGGTTTTGGTTCTTTTTCTAAAAGAACTCCCCAGTGGGCTTCGGCCCGTCCCGCCGGCCACCCGCAAGTTCCCGAAAATCCATCTGTCAATGCCTTTGTTGCCCCAACTTGGCCCAAGATGGCCTCCAAGACAAAGATGGCCAAGATGGCCTCCAAGATGCTTCCAAGACGGCCAAGATGGCCTCCAAGACGGGTAAGATGGCTCCAAGATGCACCCAAGACGGCCCAAGATGGCCTCAAGATGGTCTAAGACGGCCCAAAAGGCCCGCAAAAAGGCCTCCAAGACGGCCCAAGAGCCCTCCAAGACGCCCTCCAGGAAGGCCCGAATAGGTTAAAATCATTGATTTTCCTTAGGTTTTTCAAGGATTTTGGCATGTTCTTCTTTTCAGCTCTCCGACGGCCCAAGACGGCCCAAGAGGTCCCCAAACATCGCCCCAACAGCACCCAAGAGGCCTCCAAGATGGCCCCATGACGGCCCAAGAGGCCCCCAAGAAGGCCCCAAGAGGGCCTCAAGACGGCCCAAGAGGCCTCCAAGACGCCCAAGATGGCCTCCAAGACGGCCAAGATGGCCCAAGATGGCCTCCAAGATGCCTCCAAGACGGCCAAGATGGCCTCCAAGACGGGTAAGATGGCTCCAAGATGCACCCAAGACGGTCCAAGATGGCCTCAAGATGGTCTAAGACGGCCCAAAAGGCAGGCAAAAGGCCTCCAAGACGGCCCAAGAGCCCTCCAAGACGCCCTCCAGGAAGGCCCGAATAGGTTAAAATCATTGATTTTCCTTAGGTGTTTGAAGGATTTTGGCATGTTCTTCTTTTCAGCTCTCCGACGGCCCCAGACGGCCCATGAGGTCATGGTCCGATAGCTTGGCAGGTCTGGTCTCAACGTTCGGCCACATAGGCGCTTCCAAAAAGGCAGGGGGCGGCGGTGATTCGCCGTAGGCGTCTTCGATCCGCCGCCCCCTGCTTGCAGGGGTGCACGGCGTGCTGGATGATTCAGGTTTTGGTTTTGGTTCTTTTTCTAAAAGAACTCCCCAGTGGGCTTCGGCCCGTCCCGCCGGCCACCCGCAATTTCCCAAAATCCATCTGTCAATGCCCAAAAACGGCCGTTTCGCTCGGGACATCCTCAAAAAATCGCGAAGATGGCCCAAGATGGCCTCCAAGTCCGCCCGAGATGGTCCAAGACGGCCTCCAAAACGGCCCAAGAGAGTCCAAGACGGCCCAAGACGGCCCAAGAGGCCCCCCAGAGGCCTCCCAGACGGCCCAAGAGGCCTCCAAGAGGTCCTCCAGGAGAGTCCGAAGAGGCCAAAATCATTGATTTTCCCATTGGTTTTTGAAGGATTTTGGCATTTGCGCCTTTTCGGCTCTCCGACGGCTCAAGACGGCCCAAGAAGCCCCCAAGATCGCCAAGAGGGCCCAAGAGAGCCCCCCCATGATGGCCCAAGTGGCCTCCAAGATGGCCCCTAGAGGGCCCCAAGAGGGCCCAAGAGGCCTCCAACACGCCCAAGATGGCCTCCCAGACGCCCAAGATGGCCTCCAAGACGGCCCTGGAGCATTCCAAGCGGGCCCCAAGTCGGCCCATAGAGGCCCCCCAAAACGGCTTCCGACGGCTTCAGACGTGCCAGGAACCCACCAAGATGGCCGAAGTTGGCTCGAAGCTGGCCCGAGACGGCCCAAAAAGCCCCAAAGATCGCCCAAAGCTTGCCCAAGAGGCCTCCAAGACGGCCAAGATGACCTTCAAGATGCCCACGTGTTCCCCGAAGGCTTTCCAAACCGATTCGGGGAACACGTGGTCCGATAGCTTGGCAGGTCTGGCCTCAACGTTCGGCCACATAGGCGCTTCCAAAAAGGCAGGGGGCGGCGGTGATTCGCCGTAGGCGTCTTCGATCCGCCGCCCCCTGCTTGCAGGGGTGCACGGCGTGCTGGACGATTCAGGTTTTGGTTTTGGTTCTTTTTCTAAAAGAACTCACCAATGGGCTTCGGCCCGTCCCGCCGGCCACCTGCGCATTTCCCCAAATCCGTCTGTCAATGCCCCAAAACGGCCGTTTCGCTCGGGACATCCTCAAAAAATCGCGAAGATGGCCCAAGATGGCCTCCAAGTCCGCCCGAGATGGTCCAAGACGGCCTCCAAAACGGCCCAAGAGAGTCCAAGACGGCCCAAGACGGCCCAAGAGGCCCCCCAGAGGCCTCCCAGACGGCCCAAGAGGCCTCCAAGAGGTCCTCCAGGAGAGTCCGAAGAGGCCAAATCATTGATTTTTCCTTGGTTTTTGAAGGATTTTGGCATTTGCGCCTTTTCGGCTCTCCGACGGCTCAGACGGCCCAAGAAGCCCCCAAGATCGCCCAAGAGGCCCCCAAGAGAGCCCCATGATGGCCCAAGTGGCCTCCAAGATGGCCCCTAGAGGGCCCCAAGAGGGCCCAAGAGGCCTCCAACACGCCCAAGATGGCCTCCCAGACGCCCAAGATGGCCTCCAAGACGGCCCTGGAGCATTCCAAGCGGGCCCCAAGTCGGCCCATAGAGGCCCCCCAAACGGCTTCCGACGGCTTCAGACGTGCCAGGAACCCACCAAGATGGCCGAAGTTGGCTCGAAGCTGGCCCGAGACGGCCCAAAAAGCCCCAAAGATCGCCCAAAGCTTGCCCAAGAGGCCTCCAAGACGGCCAAGATGACCTTCAAGATGCCCACGTGTTCCCCGAAGGCTTTCCAAACCGATTCGGGGAACACGTGGTCCGATAGCTTGGCAGGTCTGGCCTCAACGTTCGGCCACATAGGCGCCTCCAAAAAGGCAGGGGGCGGCGGTGATTCGCCGTAGGCGTCTTCGATCCGCCGCCCCCTGTGGTCTTGCCACAGGGGTGC